AATATTGCAATAAAATTTATTTTATTATTATATAATATAGAATATAACAATTATGAATTATAATATACAAATTTTTTACAGCAATAATTAAATAATGATTTTTCAAAGAGATAAAATAAATAATTATTTTTACATAGATTTTATGTTATTTTATTTTTATGTAGAATTTGCTTTTATAATAATTATATATAATTATTTATAAAATAAATAAATTTAATTTATGTAATAAATGTAATTTATGCATATTATTATTTATATTATTTATAAATATTTATCAATTTATTCATATAAATATTTATTTTTAATAATCATTATTTATATTATTTTATCATTTATAAGAATCATCATTATTATTATTATTTAACTATCTAAAATGATTTAGATAAATAATAGTAATAAATTGTGTACTATGATGTTAAAACGTATTAATTTGATATATTGAATTAAATATTTTTAAAAAAATATCTTTGTTCAAGATATTTTAAATATAATTTGGTTTCCATTCGATTTAAATACACTGAAAATTTCATTAAAGATGAAATATATTTTTTAATTATAAAAATTTTTATTATAATAATATTTCTCATTTTCCGTTACTAAAAATTTTATTTTTTTCTTTAAATTGTGAAATTTATTATTTTTGGCGACTAAGTCAATAAAAATTATAACAAAATTAATCTTTAAACAACTTTATTAATTTTTGCAACAAAGTTAAGCATGCTTATATATTTTTATTTTATATAATTTATATACTTATATATATTCTATAGATTATCGAACGTTGTTTTAAATTAATTTATTTCGAGACAATTAATATATAACATATTATTCATATAAGATATTATATTCAATATAAAAAAAATTAATTTTTGTTTTTTTTTATTTTTATTTTTATGTTTATTTTTCAATAAAGAAAAAATATTTATTTTATGAAAACATTTAACATAAAATAATATTTGAAACTAGAGCAAAATATACTAGTTTAAAAAATTATCGACTTACCTAGAAGTTTTTCGAGATATTGGCACCTTGTTTCGGGATCACCAGGGTTCATGGGTGCGCCGGAAACCAGTTCGGCTAGTTCCGCCTTAACCATTAAATTTAATCGAGCCGAGATCTCTTCTAGACCCACTACAAATATCAAATAGTCTTTATTCTATTCTATAAATAGGGCAAATTTTCTTTAACTTTTTTTCTTAATTTTGTTTAATTTTTTTCAAAGTATGATTTTCATTATCATACAAAGTTTTTTTAAAAAATAATAATTAACTATAATTTTTATATATTTTTAAATTAATAAAATGTTTTATCAATGGAAACAGACTTGAACGAAACATATTTTAAATAATGTTCACTAATATCTAAAATCATATTATATTCTTTATTTGGTCAAATAAGTAATGATTTGAAAAATTATTTGAGAAAATAACATTTTATTTTTTTAATCGAAACAAATTTTTAATTAAAAAATAGTATTCAATGTAATATTAAATAATAAATTACTATATTAATAATAATATACAATAGTAAAAATTGTACCAAGTGTCAATAACAAATTAATAATATAAATATTAAAGAAATTAATTATTTTCATTCAAAATTAAATAATAACTATAGCAATAACAAATAATTTATTTCATGAAATAAATCATTTAATTACAAATACATTAGTTTATTTCGAAATATTTTATGAAATATTTGTATTATTTCAAAAGTAAATTATTTTGCAAATAATTATAAAAAATAATTTTAAAATAAGATAAATATATAATATATAAAGATAAGATAAATAATCAAAATATCCATTTAAGATGTAGTATTAAAAGTATTGAAAATGTATATAATATCGAAATGAATTTAATTGAAAAAGTTTTGCTTAAAATACATTAATTTTTAATTATAACATAAAGTTGTATTTATCGCGCCAATTTAAATTGTATCTAAATTATTTGCATGTTTTCGTATCATTATTAAATTTATTTCTTTACTTTCTTTTTTCTTTTGTATGTATCATATTATTATAAATTTATTATTATTCATCTTTACAAATACATGATAC